TGACTTAAGGTCAAGAGGGGAATATCCTAAAATAAATGTACTGTCCTGTATCAGTATACTTTAAGATATCTGATTAATTAATATACAGATGAGTACTTCATTGTTTGGCCGTTGTATATATACATGTTCCAGTCTTTATAGCATGTCTTCATTTTTTGCTGCCAAAAGTTTTTGTATGTGCGAATTTTCTTTGATGTATTAATACAGAATGTTTCTCTTTTTCACTGGTGTTTTTTCTTTTCTGGGGGACATAGGGCTGGGCGATATGACGATATTATCGTATATCGACGATGTCTCGCAAGTATCGCGATGTCGATTTAACAGTCTGTTTCCAGACGATAATCGTCAATATCAAAAAATGACATAGGCTTATATTTCACATAGCCCTATAGTTAAACATATTTATTCACATCATCATGCAATAACATGAATGAAATATTTTTGTTATAGGCTAGTTAGTAGGATTAAGAATAGAAAATCGATTCTTGATAGCATTCTTAAAGCGCAAGACGAAAGAGAACACGTCTGCATGCACGCTGTTTTCTGAGCTGCGCACTCACGCAAACAGCGCAAAGAGCCGCCTCTCACATAGCCTAGTGCACGGACAAATACACAGAATTATATCTCACAATTATACTTCTAGTTAATTTATAGCATCAAATAAACATGAATAAACATCAGAAGAATTATTGTTTCAACCGTGGAAAGACTTCAGTAGGTAGGCTACACATCTTTTCAAGTTCAAATATCCCTGTAGCCTAAACACAGCCGGTTTTGTCTTAACGGTTGAGAAAGTAAAACAGTATATGTCCATTGAATCAGTCCACTGACAGCCTATACTCGCTGCCACCATTAATGTTGATCAAAGAACAAAAGAAAAAGAAAATCACTCACTGAACTTTTGTAACTTTAATTAGCTTAATATTTTATTTGCCTGTTGTTCGGCGCTGACTGCTCCAACTGCAACATGAGTATGTGCGACCTTGAGATGCGTTGTCAAACATCATTTGTCCTTACTTTCGTAATTTTGTTAAACATTTTTCTTCATATAATCAAGTAGCCTAGGCCTATTTTATTTTGGTTTGGAGGCTGATAAAAGTTCATCAGAAAAACAAATGGTAGAAGTAGGCTAACTTTACCCGTTTCTGAATATTAATTTAAATGTTGCACATAATAAATAGGCCTAATCAAAAAGCACAAACGGGACCATTGTAATTAAAATAAAAATAAAAATGTCGTTATATTGCAAACGGATGAAGAAATTGCGTTTGAATAGGCTATCTCATGCACGCGTTCGGAGCAATGTTGGCAGCTCCGTATAGCTATATTGGGAGCGTTAGGCCTACTTTGCTTTAGATTAAATAAATGAATAAATAAACAAAACAAACAAAAAAAATCCCCAAATATAATTTTTAATGACTTCTGTTTCTAAATAAATAAAGCAGTCATTTTTATTTCTTAAACGGCTTAAGGTGAACTTGGAACTAAAACCAAAAAGGAGGGGAAAAAAACGTTTTTGCTCATTCAGAACGACAATTCGTTTTTAATTCCTAATTTTAGACAAATAACAAATATATTATAGTTTGAAAATACAAGTTTAAAAACAGCGCTACACATTATTATTATTAAAACTTATTATTAAATCAGGCGATAGGCTACCGCCCAAAAAAGGGAGAAAATCGGCCCTTATGAAAAACAAATAGACAAGACAAGACACATAACCCCCTTCAGGCTGATGAAGACCTGGTCCTGATCACCCGTCGGGTTTATTCTGAGATGACCGTATAGCTATAACATAAACATGCATTCAGCATTCTTACAATCACCAAATTGTGTTCTGTTCTGTTCAGTTGTAGGCCTATTTAACATTTCTCCTCGCGAAACGAAATTCGTTTCAAACACAGATGCAATAAGAACAGTGAGGAAATTATTAGCAACACTAACATAACAAGCAAAGCTAATGTTTTATGCTCGTTTAAGCTCAAACTAACCAAAGTAAAACCTTTAACGTTTCAATCATTAAATTAAACCAACTAAATCGCAGGCTATCATTAGATAAAGTGCAGCCAAACTCAACATGACTTGTGTTAACGTGTATTCCATATGTGTTGTCTCCAGCGGGGCGCATAGGGGGCGGGGCTTGGGTAGACGATATAATCGGATATCGCGATATTTTTTAAGGCGATTATCGATAAAATATTTTTTACATATCGCCCAGCCCTGGGACATGAACTATTTCCCTATGGACCTGACTGGAAAGTGTGAGCAGCTTTTAGCTGCTTTTGATATGAACCCTGAGTGCAAAAGGAAAAACACAGGAAAGATGCGATTGTGTGTGTGGAAGTGTGGGAATGTGTGAGGATGTCGTCACCATGGAGGCCGGCGTCGGTGTTGTTTTCTGACACTAACTAATGACCAGCACAATCTTGGTGTTTCTGTATTGTTAGATTTACGAGCTTAGCGGGACGCCCACCGCTGTGAGTCCTACTGGCCCTTGTCCGTTCTCTAAGAGAGAGCAGGAAGCTTTGACTGGGATTTATGACCTGAACAGGACATAAAAAAACAACAACATGTACAGACAGAGCTTTGTCTTTTTCTGTAGAGCGTTGTGGTCTTATCAAGGGTGGACACCAAGCGGAGTAAAGGTCTAGGATGACACCGGAAGTAGCACGTGTTGTCTTCCTTTCTGCTTTATGGCGTTGAGATGGCAGTGTTGGTGGTTTGCTTGTTTTTCTCTTCTCTTTTTTTTTTTTTTCAAATTCAGACAACTTTTGTGAGGCTATAAGAAAAGAAAATCATTTTTATGGCAGTCCGTTGTATTAATGTACAATTATCAATAAATGTGTTTTCTAAGTTTAATATTAGCCTATTATGGTTTAATTTTTCATTATGCTTTCTAAAGACTAGAGATTAATTTTGTTGACAGCCATAGGTTTTAACAGTAAGAAATTAAAAGCAAATCTGTATATAGTATATATAAGGCTACATTTATTTGATCAAAAATACAGTAAAATAGTAATATTGTGAAATGGCATTACAATTTAAAATACATTTTGCCTATTTTCAAATAAATTGTATTAATTATTAGTTATTATTAATTATTCCTGTGATGGCAAAGCTGAATTTTCAGCATCATTACTCCAGTCTTCAGTGTCACATGATCCTTCAGAAATCATTCTAATATGCTGATTTGATGCTCAAGAAACATTTCTTCTTATTATTATTATTATTGTTGAAAACATTTGTGCTGCTTATTATTTTGTGGAAACATATTTTTTTCAGGGTTCTTTGAGGAATAGAAAGAAACAGAATTCATTTGAAATAGAAATATTTTGTAACATTATAAATGTCTTACTGTCACTATTGATCAATTTAATGTGTACTTGCTGAATAAAAGTATTAATTTCTTTAAAACATATTCTAACCGGTATTGTATATAGATTTATTCACATTTCGATTAAGACCATATCGGTTGGTCACTACTTTTAGCCATGACTATTTTCTTATTGTATCTGATTGATTAAATGTAGATCAAAAAGACAGTGAGCTAATGTGTTTTATGATTAATACCTTTATCAAACTGCAATATGGTATGATTTTTCCTCTGGTGTGGATTTCTGTTTAGATTTTGACTGTGGCCTGTTTGGTCTTCCTGTCACTTTTTGGATCATACTGCGAGTAGCCAGTTCCACAGCACAGCAGCACTGGGATATTCTTCTGAAAGTGCACATGTTTTCTCTTTTACTTCTACACAGCAGCTGTTCTCCATTTGTTCTCCTGCTCGCTGTCTTATGATAAGAGATTGTTAAGGAAAAGTCCCCATCCATTTTGAAGGTTTTAATGTCTCCCTTGATAACAGTTGCTGAGGGGTGTTAGTCTTGTTGTCGATCTCATTGGAGGGAGCCGGTTTTTTTCATGCTTACCTCAACGAGTATTCTCTAAGAAAAAGAGCAGGAGCGAGGGGAAGAGAGATCAAAAGAATCCCACAGAGAGACTTGTTTCACAAAGGGAAAGAAACATTTAAGAAAGTAAAAATAAAATGGCCCTCGTGGGTCATTATTCTCAACTTTCTCAGCGTACCCCACTGGGATATGAAATGCCGTGCTGTCGTTGTTGGGAAAGCTCAGACAGAAGCACACAGTCGCACTATTAGGACCTTTCTTTGCTGATGTATATCTTAGCATTCTTTCTGAACAGTGCAGATATTGATGTATAATTAACATGCGTTTTCATTAAAAATTTAATAAAATATATATATAGATTATATGGGTGAGTGTGTGTGACTTTGGGTAGCTATAGATTTAGTGTCTTTTACTTTTTCAAATTTTAAGAATAAGCATTTTAATAATTGGACTACTTTTATCATTATAAGATTTTGTATTTTGTTTCAGTTACCCCTCTTTTTTTCCTCTAATTAAACCACTTGTTAGCTTACCACTTGTAGAATAGCAGAGAAAAAGGGTGTAACTATGAGTTGTGGTGCCACACTCAAATAGAACAATCAGCCACACATTAAAGTAAAGAGGAGTGGAATATAGTTTTACTCCGTCTGTTTTTAGCACTCTTATCCGGGCGGCAGGAGAGTTTCTTAGACAGGCCTCGACCCCGGGCCGCCCACTGCACTATCTGAGATCAGAAACATGGCATCAAAGAAACACCCGGGCCCCCGCCGCTTCTGCTTAAACTCACCACAGCAGCTCTACGTGTAGCGCACTCTGCTCTGACAGAAAACACGCAGCCTAGGCGTTTAGCGCTCAATGGCGTTCATTTAGAAGTGTAATCATAGCGTTCTGCAGTACAGCTGCCAGCTTACTGGTGCCTCGAACCTCTATTCAGTGCAAACGTCTGGCTTTGGAGTGTTCTTGACCTTCCGGTTCTACATCTCTGTTGGCTCTCATCTGAATGATAGTGTGCTCTGCTTTGAGCTAAAGTGCTTCTTTTGAATGTATTCTTTAATTCAGACACTCATGTTGTTTTTCTCTCTTTTGTTTCCTCTACAGCAAACTCTTCTCTGCTCGGTGGTGGAGGAGGTAAGTGTCTTATCTTACTACGTTTTCATTGTGACATCATTTTGAGATGTTAGGTGGTTTCTCCATGGATTCTACAGCAGAAAACATATCGCCTTCCACTGGCAGATGGAGTCTGAGGTGTCCAACCATGTCTGGGGTTGCCCTTGTGGGCGGTTGATGGCGCAACGCTACCCAGGCCCTCATTTGGAAACATTTCTGCACACACTTTGACATGATTGAAGTAATTACACACAAAGCACGAGACATGGCAGAAGGGGTAGAGAAGTGTCAGGGTTGTGGGGTCATGAATCAACCCAATTACAACTGGAATTTTGATACACCTCACTTTTACAGAGGAATCCGTTTAGTCCCCAGATAATGAGTGTAGGTCAGTCGTGTGCCCCCATTCGCACTATCCATTGTTTATCCATCTGTGCCACTGTGTCAGGGAGGGTCCCTCTCCCCTGCCACATCTCGGGAGCCAACCGCTCTTGATTGGGTCCCTCGTGAGGAAGCGATTACCACTCGTGATACACTATCCGTCTCACATCACACTCTCCTTAGTGTGGTTCTTGTTATCTGATGTGTACTAAAAGCCTACAAACCCCCGTCTTTCTTCATCATAGCTCCAGAATAGACCCTTATCAGCCACTGTGACCGATTTTCCTGATTGGAGAAGTGGCGAACAAATAAAAAAAGAAGCCTGATTAAGGTTAGAGGTCACACGTCTGTGACAAAACTACTTACCATAGCACTTGTCAGTGAATCAGTGTGACCCCCACGTCTGGGAGTCAAACGCTTCTGCGGCTCCGTGCTTTATTGGCACCTCGTTGTATGTCATCATGGTCCTTTTATTGATTTGTCACGATGCGAAACGTCTTGAGGGCAATTTGGTTTCTTCATTATTTTGCCGTAATTGGCTTTTGATATTGGTGTGTGTGCGTGTGTGTCAGGGAGACTATTAGAGGATGTTCATCAGCAGCGGCAGGTGAACGAAGGCTGATGTAACACTCTGTGGGAATATCTTTGTACCTGAAAAAGATCTGTGAAAGGAAATATGCCTGTTAGTAGTGTTGTCAAAAAACTCGGTACTTCGGTACCAAGTCGGTACTAAAAAAAATTAACGGTTACGGTACCAGCTTTTCTAGGTACCGAGTACCGGGTTAATCCGGTTCTTGATGCGCTGTCCGAAAGGTGCAGAGTTGCGTCCTCTTCATAAAAACACATGGCGACCGGCGACGCTGCTAAGCGTTGGCTCTGAATCCAGTTGTTGACAAGAAAGGAGGAAAGAGCCACACATGGAAATATGTTGAATTAGGCTAATGTCACGTTGCCATAAAGGGCCGTTCACAAGTTCACATAGCACGTTTTTTGCGCGTGCAAATTTCAAATGTAGGCGAGCGGGAAGCGCGCTCATAATAGAAGCGACGTGCGAGCTTGTTTTTCCAGGCGCGTCACTGTTTATGGTTGCATAGCGGAGACACGCGAGAGCGAGCGCTTGTGGAGAGAAGGAAAAAGCGGTGCAAACTGCGCTCTCCGTGATGACGAGGAAGTATCAGCAAAGAATTAATTGATTTCTAGCCCTTGCATTAGAAATCAGCTACAGGGTTCTCAAGTTTTGAAGACAGGCAAGAGTGACATTTTTGGCAGTTTTGGATTAAATAAAAGTAGGCTACAGTTAAGTCAAATAAAACATGTTTTATCTCCTGTATAGTTTGGTAACACTACAATAAGATACCATTCATTAACATTACTTGATGTGTTAACATCAACACATTGAGTGAACGATATATTTTTACAACATTAATTAATGTTTGTGAATGTTATTTAATACAAACACTTGATTGTTCATGTTTGTTCACTTCATTCATTGTGCATTAAATAATGTTAACAGATAAAACTTTTGATTTAAAAAATGTATTTAGTATATTTTTAAATTAACCCCAAGGAGAATAATTGCTATGTATATAACTATGGTTTATTGTTAGGTCATTTTATCTAATGTTATCTAACAAATATAATCTTATTGTAAAGTGTTTTTAATACTACAGTTTCCATCTTTGTAACTGTGATATACACTTTAATATATGTAAATTTTATCTAAATTAAGCTTTGGTACCGAAATTGGTACCGAGAACCGTGGATTTTCACTGGTATTGGTACCGAATACTGAAATTTTGGTACCGTGACAACACTACCTGTTAGCATTGCATCTGGAGTAGTTTTTTCCCCAAACATGTCAGCCTGCAAACAAAACTTGCATCCCTGATAAAAAAAGAGCTCATTGTCGTGTTCAGCACAGAAGGGAGTTTAATCAAAGCCCATATCAAGAGTATTGTCTCGTCTCCCCTAATTGCCATCTCCAGATGCGAGTGCTAGAAAACCAATTAACCCGTAACTATAAGACATTTGGTATAGTGTCAAAGAAGAAAACGAAAATGCTAATCCAAGACTGGCAGCATAAGAAAACATGTTAAACACTGAAAACGGGGAAGCAGTTACACTAGTTTGGGATTGCCACTGTTATGATTGGCTAATGTCATTGCATAGGAAAAAGTATCAACATCCCTTTGCTATTGCACAAGTGTTTTGAAAATATTATCCGTATTAAACTGTCATTTACAGACAAACTACTGAGAAATTGTTTACTTATGATTTGCGATGTAGCTGCTGTCAGATCCAGTGCAGTTGGCCACTTTATCTTTCAACAAAAGTTTCTAAGGCCTCGTTTACACTGTCAGTGAAATGTGACCCAATTCCGATTTTTTACTCGTATGCGACACAGATCGGATGTGTTCTATGACAGTGTAAACAGGAAAAAAACGCATGCATTCGGATATTTCGAGATCGGTTTCAGGCCTCGTTCATATGTGGAAATAAATCAGATGTAAATCGGATATGTGCCAATGCGACTGTCATGTAAACGGGTAGATCGGATTTTCCGAGGCATTAGGCTGCGTCTCCGCGGTTTAATGACGAGAGAAACCCCGACGCGCATCTGCGGATGGACGGATGGCCCAAAGAAACATTGTGTCGTCGTAGGAGAGGAATGTGGACACACGTTGACACAACATATCAAAGGTTGGCTTGCTCATCCTAAAATTTCGGACCCACTGCTCCTCGTTAAAGCCCGCCACGATCTCATCAAAGTGCGTTTATTGCACGATTTTTTTTTCACGTGGCATTTACGCCAAAAATAGTTTTTGCGTGCATGATACGCACTTTATGGCGTTTAATACGCACGTTTATAGTGCGTATCCAACGCTATATTTTTGGCGTATAAATGGCATGAGAAATAAAATTTGTGCTATAGATACTCACTTTTATGAGATCGTGTTGTATGTTCCCACCTGTCCTGAGATCTCGCTGCGCTCGTCCATCTGAGCAAGAAGACCCCTTTAAACATGCGTGATGTTTCAGTCAAGTGTAAACACATGACTCGGATATGGGTCACAATTTAAAGAACGTGTAAACGGACGGTAAAAAAAATCGGATATAGGCAACAAATCAGAATTGGGCATCAAGACCTGCAGTGCAAACGAGGCCTAACGAACTCCCCATTACTGTGTCTCGTTTACAAAACAATCTGGAGTCAAATATTCCAAAAAACATATACATCTCTAATGCGATATGGGATGCCATTAAAAATAAACTATCCTCTTCTTCCTGACACTGGGGTCCTTTTAAAGTCTGCATAGAGATGCAAACGAGTTGTCTTTTACTCTTCCATTTGTCCTGCTGTTGGTACTCAAGAATCAAGTTTGTCAGAAATTGAACAGGCATCTGTATATTGTATCCAGTATGGACAGCATCTGTAATTATTATGGGTTCTATTTGTTTTTGATGTGACTACGTTTCGTGTAGACAGGTGTCAGCCGTTCAGCTGGGCCTATGGCGCGATGATGTTAAACCATTCATCAATGTCTTGCTGTAGAGGCAGACATATGCAAATGTATTTGCCTTCTGAAAAGCGATCTTTGGCCTTTATCTTTGAGATAGGGCTATGAATCTTTGGTTAGACAGTGAATCGTTTCGATTCACGATTCATAGGTTTTCGATTCAAGAACGATTCAAGATTATTCAAATTGAAATTCTATGCAATTCGATTAATGATTCGATGCTGCATTCTTAAATATGCATTCAGAGGATTATTTAAATGCTTCCTCAAATGTGTCTTAGTCAGTGTGCGTATTCCACAATGACCGTCAGGGGATCAGAGAGTGGGGGCAAAAAACAAACAAACAACCTTTTGTCCATTGTTAATGTTAGTTCGTGTTAGTTCTTAATGTTAGTTCTACATAACTTTATTTTAATATTTGTAGAAATTTACATAAGCCAAAATTTTAAAAGGCTTTAAAAGTATTGTTAGTTCATGTTAATTAGTGTGTAGGATAGTGTTAATGGCTACACAACCTTATTAAAGTGTTCCAGGTATACAATGATTCTGTGGAGAGAATATGCACTTTCCCAACTAATCCTAAACTAACTTTTCTTCACGGAATAGTAAGAAACGCCCTCTTTGTTCTCTTTATACAGAACATTTTCCTTATGATTATTCTGAAAGAAAACACACCTGGTGTCTACTGTTGCTATAATAACGAACCCAACTGTAATGCGCATCTGATTGATAGATAAACGCGCGCTCTTATTTCAGTGTTGGTAATGTTGTACTTATTTCGGCAGTTTCCTTCGCACATTTAGTTTAACGACATTAAGTTAAATTTTATTTATCATTCATCGGAACTGTGCGTAATATGCATTTTAGACACTTGCATTGTGTTTGCTCCATCCATGCAATAAATGCACACCTTTGAATAAGCAGGGTTTTACTTCTCTGCTCAGGTAATGTCAATGTCGTGACACATTTGCATAAAACTTCATTATTTTATCTTATAGAAAAACGGTGGTGTTTCCACCCAATGAAAGCATTTTATTTCAACAGAAGTGACCACGCAATGGCTTGAGCGGTTTGACTCAGCTCTATCGAGACAGCAATAGTCCTGTCATCTGCTCATCTGAAT